TTTTGGACAGCAAAGGCTTTTTCCTGGTACACATCCTATGCAAGTTAAATTGGTGCAGTTTTTCTCAATTGTATCTGCTTTCACTTTGACACCAGCTGTTGCAAGAGCAACCTTTTAGATCCTGTGATTAAATGTTGGGGTTTTTGGAGACTTCTGTTAGCATTAAACAAACAGCTTGGGATGTATTTGCTGGGTAGGCCAGTTCTGAATAAATCAGCGACCTTTTGAAATCTATGCCACTTGGGTTTTATTTTCCGTACAGGGAATGATTAGTTTTAAAAAAATGGTGTTCTTTTTAAATTATTTGCCAGACTCAAAGGTTTCCACATCCTTCTTCTTTCTGAGGGTCTTGGATAGCTCTCTTTATCTTGGCATGATGACCCCACACGTGTCACTGGCAAAGAACGCCAGACCCTAGATATCTGAGGTTTAAATAAGACTGGTTCCACTTGCATACTCCCCAAAGAAGGTTCTAATCACTGGCATGTAATTTTGAACACCTACATTTATGGATTTAAAGTGGTGATAAATGCAGGGATTTACTTACTTTTTCCATAAATCAGTATTTTCATTAATTAAGATACGGAGAATAAATACACCATGTCATGTTTCTGGGTACTTCAAGTGTATGCATGTATGTATGTATGTATGTATGTATGTATGTATGTATGTGAAGTCATTTGTACCACATGTTTTGCAAGAACATGTGGCATATTCAGCTGTCTATTCTCTCTTTGCTTGACTGGGAACCAAGCACTTTTTATCTTGAATTAGAATTTTCTTTTTGTCCCCTCCCTCATACTCTTACCCACTGCCAGGTCCTCTGCATTGGCTGTCAGCCAGTATTGATTGGCGCCCACCCTATTGGAGTTAACAGATGTCAGAAGTGATAGATTACGGGTCGTTCCTTTTAATTTCACTGCTCCCGGATCACAGCTTTGAGCCTAATTCCTTTTAGTGTCAGGATCACTCTCCTGTCACCCACCTCTTCCTTTAACCCTTGTGCTGCCGGTGGCCTTTGAAATATATAAAAACTAACTAGAAGTGAAGGCAACATCTGGATCTATGCCTATTTTTCCGCTCCCTTTATTATCCTTGTCATTTCTACATTCTGGTGCTGCCACTAGCCTGACTTCACACCAATGTCCATGTGTTACTCTTGTGAATAGTCATAATTTTGCATCTGCACATTATGTCAATGTGTCATATTTTCTGCCTTGTCAATATATGTTAGTGTCCTGTAGCATACATATGTAACTCTTTTGTTGAATATCTTTTATAAAAACAGCATGCCCAAACGAAGGATAAATTATGTTCCTATCAGCTACTAACATTGTGATCCGAATTTAGAAAGGCAATCTCCTTCTGTCTTGCTTTTTTGTGTAATTGTATATCTTGTGGATTAACACTTCTATTTCTGTGTAACTATTGAAGTACTCAAGGCAGATACATGCATCGCTTTCTCCAACTTGTATTAAAAATAACGTTCTGCCATGTTGTTTGAAATTTGAATTTAGTGCAAGTTTAAAAAGGTATAGCCCCATGTTTCTTGGAACAATAATATGTTCAAGAGCTTCTTAGCCCTTAACATGACCTTCCTATTATATCTAAGGCATTGCCTAGGTAGAGACTCTAGGAGTGTGCTGATTTTTATTTAAAAAAAAAAAGTAAAAAACTTGTTATCAATTGTGCTTTATGGTATTTACTTTGCGGCAATTAAAGCACATTTTTGGCTTCCAGCTTTAGCAATAGGGAATAGACTGAAAAAATAAAATCTCATACTTGTATTCATTTATTACAGCAGTGCCTAAGAATAAAGCTGAACTCCAGGCAGGTTTAAAAGAACACCAGTGAATGCAGTTGTTGTTAGTATGTATGTATTAAAATCCTTAAATGTATTTTAAATGAAACTGGTATAAATATCTACATTTAACATGATTCTGGCCTCTTGAAATACCCTATGCAGCAGTGCACAGAATGGGAGGGACAGCCAGTTGCAGCCGCTGAGCTTAGCCACGGCGACAGGATAGAGCACACACTGCACATGTGCAGGGCTCTGAACAAGAACGGCACTCACTCCTGTGATGCTGGGGTAATTTTGCGAGTTTTTGGGGCAGGATTCAGTTGGAGTGCCAATGGTCTATAGGTATGGCGGGTACATTAATGAAGATTTTTTTTACAAGCTGCTTAGTTTTTTGTTGCCTACTCGGGTATCTTGACTGCATAGGCTTTTCTTAGATAAAGAAAGGCGAACTAAGCATTTGAAATTGAAATCCATACAGTCCTGAGACAGCCCTGTAAAGCAGGGTTAGCCAAACTCCGTCCCTCCAGCTGTGGTGAAACTACAAATCCCATGATGCATCTCTCTCCGGGAGTCATGTCTGTGGCTGAGAGAATCTTGCAAAGCCTCATGGGATTTGTAGTTCCACCACAGCTGGAGAGCCGGAGTTTGGCTACCCCTGCTGTAAAGTAACGATGCCAATGTGGAGACCTGACTTTTTTTCTCCTACTGCAGGTAAGCAACACAACTAGGTACTCTCTCTGCCCTCTAGTCTGTGAATGGACAATGAAAGAGCAGCAGTAGACTGATGAGGTCATGTATTTGCTTTCTTCTTCTGTCAGCATGCTGTTGGTCAGCACATGTTAATACAAGACAATTGATTGGCCTCAACAACTGCACCTGTCCCTCCCATCCTGAGTGTTGCTGTACAGTGGATTGCAAGGAACCAGATTTATGTCAAATTCAGACATTTTATACCGGTTGCATTTAGATACAATTATAGATTTTTAATACATAACTTACCTTGGCTCCTTTAAAATTAGCAGACAAAATATATCACACACGGTGATATAACCTTTCACAGAAGGCCCAGTCTTAGTAGGTCTTACAAATGTGCAAACACGCCAAAGCAACTCATAAGTACCTATTAGTGCAATTGCTGTAGAATACAGAGTACATATGGCAAGATGGCATGGAATGAGGCAATGTGAAATAGGGACTGCACAGCACAACATACAGAATAAGGAGATATGGAATGGGGAATGTCCAACACAGCAACCACAGATGTGCATGTTCTGTGCATTGCGCTTTCCAGAGTGTGCATGGCAGAGTGTTGTCCTGTAAATCCTTAAAGTGACATTAAAGGCAGAAATGTTTTTGCCTCAACACAACGTTTATGAAACCACTTACCTTAAATGATGTTTCTTAATCCGATCATCTTCTTTCCTGTAGTTTTCAGCCTTCTCTCCAGCGCTGCTCCGAGTGTCTGATCCAGCGCTGACTCCTCTGTGATTGCTGGCACTTCCTGTCCCACGATGTCTGCATGCGAGTGCACGCGTCCATTTACTTACCTTGTGTCTCTCCTCTCATCCTGGCCGAAAATGTGAACTGCATGCGCCCGCCCCAAGATCCTTTGCGGTCGCCCGAGCAGTTCCACATTTTCGAACGGGAGCGCGCGGGGAAGATGCAGGTAATTGTAAACCGCTGTTAAAGCGGTTTATTTTTACTTTTTGCATATATCTACTGCTTGCTAGCAGTAGATATATGCAAAAAAAGCTGAGGGTTTAGAAACCCTTTAAGTCCTAATAGGTAATATTTTATAGCAAACTTTTTTTTTTTTTTTTTTTTTTTTTTTTTAGACCTGGTATATGTTTGCCAGACACACATTTTCAAAGATCAAGAAAGATCACGTTCATATTGGTAACTATAGCACTACTGATGACTGCTCCACAGTCCTTACATGCCCACACAGCCAAAATTGAGTGCCAGTGGGTTCAGAAAGGAGAGGAAGTGATATAACCACATTTCCAAGGAGGAGCTCCTCTGGCATTTCATTCAAGGCTGCCTACAGGCAGTGATAGTGGGAGAAAAGCAGCTGGCTGCTGCATAACAATATAACATGGTTGAATTCTGACAGAGATGGGCCATAGGTCTGAAGAGCTAGGTAGCAACATTTGACTATCATAGCTCTGATTCCCCAGCTGGCAGCTGGCAGCCACTGGGAGACCTGAGATACCTTGCATCCTCATCTTTCAAGATACCTTTCAAGATACTTTGCTATGGCCAGGAGGTTTGATAGCCCTGAGGGGCCCTGAGTGACTTTGGGCCCTGGAAAAGTGCTCGATTTTCCCGCCCCAAACGCTGGCCCTTGGTGTGTGGTGCAACTGAGATTTTCTCCTGAAGTTGAAAAAAAAAGGTCAACACTTGACTCATACATGCACCCAGTTTATTATTATTATTATTATAGTTGTTGTTAATATAAATAATCTATTTAATGATATAGAATGCCTAATTAAAATAGCCTTGATTTTCTAATGTAAGCAAAGTAAAGGTGCCCATACACTGCACGATTCTCGTACGAGAATCGTGGGAAATCCCGCGATCGTACGAGAATCGTGCAGTGTATGGAAGGCGTGCGACCGTTTCTACTGTACGGTCGCACGTCTTCCGTCGAACCAGCAGGCTAGAAAACCCGCCGGGAATCGTAAGATTCTCGGCGAGTTGGTGGCCTGCTGGTTCGATAACTGCCGAACGGGCCGGTGTGCGCACACTGCCCGTTTGCAGTCAGCGTAAAAGCTCGCCCCTCATTAGAGTAATCGCAAGCCCGCCCCCCAGGGGGGGCGGGCTTGCGATGATCGAGAGTACGATCTGCCTGTCCAAGATGGGCAGATCATACGTTTTTTTAATTACTTTACAACCATCGCGAGACTAAAGTCTTGCGATGGTTGTAAAGTGTATGGCCACCTTAACAGGTTTTACAGTAGTGGATCTTTTTGTGCATTTTCCATTTGTTTTGTTTAAAGAAATTAAGGATAAACTGAATTAACAGTCATTATTTGTATCAATTAATGCTTATGAAACTATTATGCATTTATTTTGTGTGTATCTACTTCTGGTGATTCTTTAAATTGTTGTTTGTAAAGTTGTTGTTTTTGTTATGACCCTTTCATATGTCTCTGTATGAATATCCAGTTATAAAGCACTTCTTATGTCTTTTTAGGACAGAGTGAGTGTTTTCTGTGCTTTGGTTGCAAGACTCCCTAAACCACCCATGTAGGACAAGGCGGACACCCTTTTTGGTCGAATATCCTTATCCTGCCCAACACTGGTAAGGGCTGCTTTTATTTGTTAGCCATACACCATCTTCTATATCATTACTGATAAGAGACCCTTAATAATCAAATCTGACACAAGCCTAAAACCTGAAATCAACTTCACCCATCTTCTTGGTTTAAGTCAGATCTAGTACAATTTCATGTCTATGGACATTAGGCTTGCTGACCAGATTTGGAGCATTGATTGGACAGATAAGTGAACCTTGTGGAATTGCTATTTCTTGTGACATAAGCCAGCCTTGGAGGTTTCTGGCTGTGCATCCTTATGCTGGGCAATCCAAATGTGTATGCCCACAGTTTCCACAAAAGTCCGGATGATGCTTTCACATCTGACCATAATCTTGGGTCTGTGATCACTTCTAGTTACATCAGTTTGTGCATTCCTTGACTGGAGCAAGACTCTGTTCTTTATTGGTATAGAAGTCAGTACATACAGTCATGAAAAAGTGAGCAGAACGTGTTCAACACTTCGCCTGAACTGTTGGCACCATAAAATTATTTCCTCCTGTGTGACTCAACAGTGTGATTTTTACCCTTGTTTTGTAATATCGTGGCAGCTGTATAATTTTGCCTTATTTTGTATGCATTTCATTCTGTGCCACCTTGCCATACCTGCTTCTATGCCCTGTTATTAACTTTGAAAGGATGTAATCGTATAGAGTGCTTCTGCACCTCGAAAGAGTCTGAATTCCTTGGTGCCAGAATTGTTTTGAGGAGGAAGCTTCTTGTTCTGTTGCTTGTCCTTGTGTCAGAGAAGGGAGGCCCCTCAACGGGGAGTAGAATCTGTTTTCAGCCGGTAAGGAGGTGATGTTCAGAAGTCATTGGGTAATGATAGTATCTTTTTACAATGGGCTTATGCTGCGGCTGTGACCTTCTAAAAATAAATGCATTGTTGTACTTCCATCAGCATTAATACTATTCTCACTGCTTTATTGGTGAGGATATTAATTATATTGGGTAGTTGGTTTACCGAAAAAGGCTTGCAGGTTTCCATGTTGAATGTTACTGCTAAAAAAATGCTACACAAAAGTAATTATGGACAGAATATAAATATTATTGCAAACCACGTGTTAACCTGGTTCTACCGTTGCGGTGTTTATAACCAGTTAACCAAATGCAGTTCGGAAATGACTTGCTTATATTTGAATTGCATATCTGATGATTGAGTCTTGTGGGATCCAAGTTTCTATCCTTACATAGAAGGCTGTACTCACCCACTGATTTCTTATTACTCTTGGGAAATCCCTTAGGTATATTTCTCTATCATTGTTTGTTTCAGCCTGGAGAGAGGGATTACCTTGTAATGGCAATGACAGGTAGGCCTGAAAAGTGGAGACTCCAAGCAAAGTTTCTGCATTATGTGTAATACCTCCCAAACATCTATCAAAGAACAATATGGTCAAATGCATTACATTGCATACATTGCATTTGCAAACACATGTTCTGCTGTATTTTACATAGCATATCTTTATATCAGGTACAGTATATGTTTGTATTTCTGCTTACAGCTGGCTCCATTGAAAGATCTTGTTGGTTTGTGACGAGTCCATTCACACTTATGCATTGTGAAAAACATGTTTTATCGTGGTGGCATTCATTTTGAATGGCACTCCAAATCACCATTACAGTAGTGGGTAATACACCTACATTGCAGTGCCCCACAGTGCACATGCCATGTATTCTAGTGCATTGTGGTAAAAGTCAGTTTTTAGTGCATTGGGAGGGCTGACTTGACATAATATGCCTTAAAACACACTCTTTTGTTGCAGTAACGCAATGCTTAGTCTAAATGGGCCTGTATTGTTTTACTCACCTTTTAATCCAGAACATTTTGAGAAACAAACAGTTAAAACAAAATTACCTCCTAGAGCTCACCGATTTAACTTAGAGGGCAAAGTTAACCAATAATTCTAACAATAATAAATGTTAGTGCGTGTTTTAATATAACAATTCCTCATGGCTTGGATCTCTTGTAGGTTTCAGTAGAAACATGTCACCTGTAGGGTTTCCATCTGGATTACATAGTTACATAGTTACATAGTTACATAGTATATGAGGTTGAATAAAGACATTAGTCCATCAAGTCCAATAGCGCATTGCTATTATGTTTACCTAATTAAAGCATAAAGTTAAAAGGATCTTTCCCCTCATAATTGTAGAGCCTGAAAGTATGGCGATGCACAACTACATAAATGTCCATTTACAGCCTATAACCTTCTCTGTATGGTTTTGGATGGGATTTGTTTTTGTTTTTTAGAGCAATGGCTGAACAGGGGAGTAGCTGTTAAGTGTAGAGTCATATATTTTAGGCATCATAGTGCAAAAAGCAAAGAAGTCTTTGAGCCCATTCACACTTGTCAGTTCCCCTGCCATAAAACTTAGTTATTAAAATGCACACCTTTAATTTATGCATTAAAATTCAACTCTTGATTTATTGCTTTGAGGCCCATTCATGTGGCTAGTTCACGGCTATGTGCTGCAGTTTAGAGAATTATTAAAACATAGGCCCATGCATGGTAAATGCACAAAAGCTTAGGTTTCTGTCAATGATGTGCATTTTTAATGTGTCTGCACCATCAAATTGCAATCTGAGTGTTCTCCCTTATTGCACTTAATGCATGAACAAATCATATTCAGTTAAGTGTATCAAAGATGCAATGCATATGCATTAGTGTGACATGACCCCTGAGTGGGTAATTCTTAAGACCCAAGGGCTACCATAGTGAAAGCGCATGGTTAGCTAGAACTTTTTTTTCTTATAATTTTGGATTAAACCCTGTCAATATGTTCTTTTATGTCTATGTTGCATTAAGGACATTTTCCTTTACTTCCTATTGTGGAGACACCGAAAGTGAGGGGAAATGTCTTCAAAGTGAGAGAAATTCTCTTAGTAGTTGTTAGAACAGTTGTCCCTATTGGCAGGTTGCCCTCTGTTCCTCTTCTGGTGGCGCCTTCATTATGGATTTCCCTTCACTTTCAGTCCCAGTATCAGCGATTGGTCATCAGGACAAATAGAAAGACTGAATCTGCCCATCTGGTACACACACAGCAATTCAAACTGGTTAGGGTTGCTTACCTTTCCCCATTCTATTCATGCACTTTAGTATGTATAATGAATATCTATAGCTAAAACTTTTTTGTTTTGTTTTGAATAGTGTGGGGAAGGATTAGAACTGCTGTCTGGGTTTTACTGCTGTGTGGGGCTCCGAGAGATTTCCCCTCACTTCCTGTCCTGAGGACAAACTCACCAGTCAGGAAGTGGAGGAATCTCTCTAACAACCACAGACAGAAGTAACAATTATTTTTAAGTGAAGTAAAAAAAGGCTAGTCCCTCTGTAAGCTTTATATTGTCTTTTTTCCTGCTGCAGATTTTCCCTCACTTCCCTCCGTCTGGTAAAACGTCTCCAGAACAGATTGTGGAGGTTAATCTCTTTGACGGGACCCTGAATAGAAGTAAAACCTGACAGGAGCTCTAACCCGTTTCTGTTTTAGCCAAAACTGAGAAAGTTTTGACTATAGATGCACATTGGGTGCTTTCTGTTTCCATATGCAACATTAACTTTCTTTAAGAACATTCTGTTGTAACCTCAGATCTTGTGCAACTATAATCACATCAGGCTTGAGCAATGGCGTTAAGTCACTTAAGGGCAATGTTCCTACTTTAGATGTTTTCCACAGGTTTAGATGAGAATGAACTGAATGTTTTTTTTTTTTTAAAAAACATAGTTTCATCCCTGAAATATTGGAATTTGATTAACTTTATTTACAATAGTCGATTTTCACTTCCTCATTTAATTGACAATGGAATAAATAAAATGCTGGACTTGAATCAGTGACTCACCAATGGCAATGCCTTCTTTCCTGTGTGATCAGGAGCTGGTATGTAACATGCTCAACTGTCTAAACACGTTTTTTTTTACATGATGTCATGGGACATAAGCAGCTCACACTGTTGTACAATCCCTAAGCAATGTTTGAAATTGGCAGTCTTTTGAATTTTGTTTCTTAATAGGTGGTATCTGTGGCTTTTTGCTGGAGAAGGCCAGATTATGTGGCTCTATGGGAAAATGTGGCTTACATGATATGTACATAATGCATGGGATGCTAGAGGATACATAATATATATTTAAGGCTGGGTTCACACCTAGGCGTATCGAATATGCGCGTTTGTCGCGCATTTCGTGCCGCACGTTTTAACCGCGATTCGCGATTAAAAAACACGAGACTAATGCACGTTTCCGAGGACTACCTGGCTGTATCCCAATGGATATGCTCAGCAAATACGCCCCAAAGAAGCTCCTGTACTTCTTTGGGCTTAGGGCGTTTTGCAGCGGGTTCCTATGCGCTGTGAAACGCCCAGGTGGGAACCATGCCCATAGGCAATCATTGGTTTTCACATGTTGGGCGTTTTACAGAGCGTAGGAACGCGCTGTAAAACGCCCAGGTGTGAACCAGGCCTTATAGCATAAGCAGAGTTTTCCTTCTGTTAGTTGTACCCAAGATAGGACCTCAGATGCCTTCCTTTTTCACCAGGTGATAATTCTGACTTCTCAGATTTCAGGAGGCCATTGTGGTCTATAAAGCAATGTGATGTAATTTCCTTTAGAGGGGAGGTCATGTGGTAGTAAAAGGTTAAAACCAAATAAATAACTTTGTTTTCATTGTATTTTACCAGAATTAAGGGGAAATGTTTGTTTGTTTTTTGATTTTATTTTTTTTCTTCAGATTTTAATAGCTGATTTATTATGAGGGCTAATAGATGAGGTGAAGCCAGTGGGGGCCCTAGGTTAAAACATAGGCATGCCATAGGGTTGATCTGGGGTTACATGGTGCCTGTTGAGATTGTTTTTTTTTTTTGTCTAATGCTAACTTCACACCATCCATGCACAGATGCACTTCAGCATACTGTATATAGCCTGCTGTTACAACTCAAAGAAAATTGGGGGAAAACAGTGTTAAAAATGTCAACTTTATTAAAAATTTGTGAATTTGT